GGGGGGGTGGGGGAGGGGGGTTGGGGGGGGGGGGGTGGGCAGGGTTGTGGGGTGGGGGGTTGGCGGGATTGTGCTGAGGTGGTGCAGGATTTTGTACAGGCTTTATAGGTTGGTGTGGAGACTGAACAGGTTCATTCTGTACAGGCTTGACAGGGTTATTTGCAGGTTTGACAGGGGTTTCTACAGGTTTGGCAGGTTGATGTACAGGTCTGCTGGGCTGATGTACAGGTTTGCTAGGCTGATTTACAGGTCGGCTGGGCTGATGTACAGGTTTGCTAGGCTGATGTACAGGTCGGCTAGGCTGATGTACAGGTCTGCTAGGTTGATGTACTGGCTTACTCGGCCGATTTGATGGTCTGCTAGGCTTATGGTGGCTCCCTCGGTTACTGCCGCCACTGGGTCTGCTACTTCCTGATCTAGAGGAGGACACATTGATATCAGTCTGCAGTAGGATCAAGAGAACTACTATTGAGCAGATGACCAGGACCTTCCCCATAATGATAATTCTGCAAAACAAAATGGTAAAGAATCTGTTTTTCTGCTACTTTCTGGAGGAGGACACATTGATATCAGTCTGCAGTAGGATCAAGAGAACTACTATTGAGCAGATGACCAGGACCTTCCCCATAATGATAATTCTGCAAAACAAAATGGTAAGGTAAAGGTTTAAAAATGATGAAAAATGTAACACAAATAAATCATACAGTGCAAAAGACATATTTTTCAATCAAGGAACTTCCTAGGGAAGACATGCTTGGCCACAATGAGCCATTACTTAATTAGGTCCCATTTCCGCTATTGTAAGGCACCATCTGTGGAGCTGCCTTTGAAAAGTGTTTGGAACTTACAGCTAGCTTCAAATTCAGAACCCAGACAGCAGTATGTTAGGATGCCTGTTAGAATCTATATAACATCAGCCTTGAAACAACCATACTGGCTTCCGTGCTATGTACCAGCTTAATTCAAGGTTCTGACATTGACCTGTAAAGCCTTACTTGCATGACTTGGGGTCAGGATAGCTGAAAGTCTGACATCCTCAACACAGGCCACCTTGCATGTCCCTCTACCTCTCAAAGTTAGGTTGGTAGGCAGGCAAGACAGGGCTTTTTCTGTAGCAACAACTCTATGAAGGAACTGTCCCCCACACAAGGGACAATAGGCTGGCTCCATCATGGCGGATCTTCCAGTGAGGGACTAAAACTGGAAGAGGCTTTGATTTTCAGGAACATCCCCAGACTGAAAATTTGTTCCTCCAAAGGTATCTGGTTTAACACTTATGTTATTGATATCCTCCATCCCCATCATAAGAAGGCAGGATTCTCTGGAAAAGACATTAATGTTGAGAAAGGTGGAAAGCAGCAGGAAAAGAGGAAGATTGGATATGAGATGGACTGACTCCCTCAAGGAAGACACAGGCTTGAATTTCCAAAAGCTGAGCAGGGCAATTGAGGACAAGGCATTTTGGAGATAACTCATTCATTGAGCCACCATGAATCGGTGGTGATGATGGCTCATATGAACAACAATATCTCCAGATAATATAAGGCGCTCTCTCTCTCTCTTTCTGCATGTGTGTGTGTGTGTGTGTGTGTGTGTGTGTGTGTGTGTGTGTGTGTGTGTGTGTGTGTGTGTGTGTGTGTGTGTGTGTGTAAAAACAGAGA